ATTTTCTAGAAAGTTGTTGGACATTCCGTCATACCACATAGGGCGCCGTTAGCATCGCGTGAAGACCTTTCCCGGCGCCGGTCAACGTAAGAGAACGGCTCGTTCTGTACAAGATGACAAATCAAAGAACTTTTTACAGCGATATATCATGTCTTGCTTTCCAGCGTGCGGTGAGCGATCATATAAGATGTGGCTCCTATCCAAACATCGTATGTGAAGTTTCGCCAATGGACGAAGTCTCGAACAATGAATTAGGTGAGATGGGGGGGGGGGGGGGGGCGGAGGGGCTAAGGCGTAAGAATGATGCAACCTACTTCAAAGTAGTAAATAAATGGCCTTATTCCAGATATGATACACTTTTCTCAAATCTGGGAGGGTGTGCTAGATTTCAAGTTGGTGTGGCTGGAAGTTCCCCCTCCCTTCCCCAATTGAATGGTAAACTACCTTTCCGGTGATTTGTCATTGGGACCGAGGCCTAGCCAACTCCCTTCCTGATACCACCCTCTACCCTGCCTCCTTCCCAAGGGTGACTGGACGTATCGGATGATCACGCATCTGAGCCGGTTCGTGGACTCATCACGCCGAGCTGCGCCTCCAGCGATGCCGAGTCGGCTGGGCCGGACCCTGCGGCCGGGGTTATGTAGCTCAGTCTCGGCCTGGCCATCGCCGTGCACGTGGGGGCTGGGAGACGCGCGCAGCGTGGGTCGAGGTCGCCTGTTTGACGTGTAGCCCCAGCGGTGAGAGTTCGAGACCTGTCAACGGTTGGTCCCGTACATCGGCAGCATATAGCCGACGGCACCTGGTAATGCTGGGCCGCAGGTGTCGCATGTCGGGCATTCATCATGGCCCGTCCTAGACACGGCAGAGGATGTCATCCCCAGCAGGACTGCAACTTTGTTTCTCTTTGGGTGGGGGGGGGGGGGGGGGAGGGCATGGCCAATTTTCCTCATGGTGACACGCACAGAGATCCGCTTTAAAATAGAGGCCATGGTGTCTCAAAGGTTTCAGTGCGACTTGCCTAAGGAAATGTTCCAGGATTTCGTCCCGGATGGGAGGCATTACATGGTTGTGCCCGTTGAGAATGAGGATTTGCGGCCCTTCGTGATGCACTCTGGAATTAGGCGTCCCTCGAAAAAGGTCATGGTGTCAGAAATAATGGTTAGAGGATACTCAGGTAGGAATACTCATACTCAGGCAGGAATCGTGTTTGCAATAGACGAAGACAAATCATGCACGAAAAGGCTTCAAGTAATCATAGCCAAAGTCAGCTAATGTCAGCCCGTTAGAACCATCCAATAAATTACTACCACTCATTCAGTGTTAGTAAAGGTTGTCAGCCACAAAAGTCAGAGGGGCAATAACCTGGTCATTTTCATGCTGTGTTTTGAAGCGGATCTCCAGGGAGTCCACTCAGCTAAGCGGAGCTTGCTGCTGGGAGCACTCACGGAGCCAGCACCATGAATTTTGCTCTAAGTGTATGAATATGACTGTACCAGAATGTGATTATGGAGCATGAAACAAGTTAAGCATGGACTGAGTTACATACCCACAGGACGAGAAATTGCAACATCCTCAAATATCGGTTACGTTGATATGCGTCTCCAAAATGTTTGCGGAAGACGCTCTCAACGATGGGATATCAGTCATACTTTGGAAATATGAAATCATAGGATTCTCCCACACCTCACGGCCAGGGCAATGTGTCGTAAATAACCTAGAATTACGAATAGAGAATGGGTTATCTAAATGCTTTACTCGCCTCACATGCATTTCATTTGATTCGTGGGGGCTATAAATTAAATCAAATGATGCAGAAAGCTGCAAAGTTCGAAATTTCTAACTTGAAAAATCGGCTTATCCTTTGCCACATGGGTTGATCCAGAATTTTGTCAAACGGGCAAGGCCCATATACGTAAAGTAGTGGAATTTGGTGCTTCTCGAAAATAAAAAATTAGGACCCTTTGCGATGTCCTTGAAATGTTGTGCCTCTTGGAGATAAAGGCTATGTGGTTCCGAAATAAAGTTTCGGTGCGGCGAAAGGGTCAGCCCATGAGCAGCCCAAGGGTGGGTGGCGCGGCCCCGTGCCTGCTCCCACCCACTTGAGGGATGCACTCCGGTCTGTATTGCTCAATTACCAGCAGAATGAGACCATCAAATTTAGACAGTTCTGGAGAACTGTCATCACGTCATTTAGAGAAGTATCATCTAAGCCCCAGTGGCTGGTGCGTCAAGGAGAAGCCCAGCAGCCATTTAAAATCGCTGCCTCCCCGTGGCCTCCCGGAGTAGCCTCGAAGCGGCACCAGTTGTGGGCACGTGCGGTGTCCGCTTTGATAGGCATGTGCTGTGGCCAAATATTGGCTGGTTCTTCTCAATCAAGCAATCCGTCTTTAAACCAAAACAGGATGCAAAATCGGACTCTTACATTTTCATAATCTATGCGACGTCTATATAGACATTAAGAAAATACAAACGTCCATCTGCTGGCCTGTGCTCATCCTCAAGACATGAGCTCTTGAGGATGAGGACAGATCGGAATATCGAGTATCGTTATTATGCCCGCTGATAATCCCTGCAATGCCGTTTGACCAATACCTCCTGGTGTATCGAAGGTCATTAATTATACGTAAGAACTTTGAGCTCATAGTACCACAAAACGCAAGCAGCTAAATGACTGTCTTTCTGATATCAAGTCCAAATTATGACCGCAGAGTAACGTGGACAATTTCGTCTCGGAAATTTGTCTCGGAAATTGGATAGGCAAGTTTCATGGGTTTTCTCGCCCTCCAATGAAAAGCGCAATATTCCAGCCCTAATTTCCAGTGTGTGGTGCACAAGTGTGATGGGATGAGGGGCGTGTCTGGATGTCCCGTCACTCCGCCCCGCACCTACCAATGAGCCAGGATTTACCGTCACTCCGCCCCACACCTACCGAATAGCCAATATTTACCCTCACTCCGCCCCAGCACCTACCGATGAGCCAGGATTTACCGTCACTCCTCTCACCACCTACCGATGAGCCAGGATTTGCCCTCACTCCGCCCCGCACCTGCCGATGAGCCAGGATTTACCCTCACTCCGCCCCACACCCGCCGATGAGCCGGGATTTGCCCTCACTCCGCCCCACACCTGCCGATGAGCCAGGATTTACCCTCACTCCGCCCCGCACCCGCCGATGAGCCAGGATTTAGCGTCACTCTGCTCATCACCTGCAGATGAACCAGGATTCACCGTCACTCCGTCCAGCATCTACCGATGACCCAGGATTTACCGTCACTCTGCTCACCACCTACAGATGAGCCAGGATTTACCGTCACTCCGCCCAGCACCTACCGATGAGCCAGGATTTACCCTCACTCCGCCCCACACCTACCGATGAGCCAGGATTTACCGTCACTCCGCCCAGCATCTACCAATGGGCCAGGATTTACCGTCACTCCGCCCCGCACCTGCCGATGAGCCAGGATTTACCGTCACTCCGCTTACCACCTACCGATGAGTCAGGATTTACCGTCACTCCGCCCCACACCTGCCGATGAGCCAGGATTTACCGTCACTCCGCCCCAGCACCTACCGATGAGCCAGGATTTACCGTCACTCCGCCCCAGCACCTACCGATGAGCCTGGATTTACCATCACTCCGCTTACCACCTACCGATGACGCATGCTCAAACGATGGTCTGACCGTCTGGCAGCTTGCACGCTGAACGAGACTGCCAGTAAAAGTATATATCGGCGCTTTTATTATCTGGTCGCTTTGGCACCCCATTACCGTATGAAAGCACGCCTGTGGTCGCATGTAACATCTGTCGTATGAATGATGGTAGGTTCGAAGTGCCTTGTACCTAGCACGTACGACGGTAGCCTACATTTTGCTCCATCGCTTTGATTGCTTCAACCGACATATTTTTCAAACTTGACGTATTTTAGGTCACACAACTCGTCTGTAGTGCGGTGACAAGCCGTCATCGCTTATTCCACCGCCGTTCTACGGTTTGAGATAACGAGGCGGGACCTCGACACACGAGTCTGGGCGTGTCTAGCCTGATTTGAGAGGCCACGGGACACAACAGCTTTCACTGATGACATGCTGTTAACGCATTAGTGTGTCATGAGCTTCACAGTGCCGCTCTCTCTCTCTCTCCAGCCTTGGCATACATGGCGCTGAACATAAAAGAAAACGATACAAATAATATTCATGGTGCAGGACGAGACTTGACCGATTCTGCCCCGTGAACCAGCTTGGCGCGTCACAGGTCGCTAACACCGACGTCCGATGACGCCTATTTCGTTCAGTTTTCCGGGAAGAATACCGCGTTCCGCCTGGCTATAGCACACACAGTTTTCAAAACACCCTGCGACGCCTTCCGTGTCTCGCGGAGGTAAAACGCATGGCTCAAAACCGCTGAAGAAATGCCACCATGCTCCGCACCTGAGCGAGATATAGGGTCTGGGGGCATCCAGAGCCGAAGGGACACCAGCGCACACCGAGGACGATGGCTGCTCCCAAACGCAATACTGCTCGCTTTGCTATATCCATCGGATCATGTCATGCAGCGATCGTCCACATCCGATCATATATGCTCAATTCGACGCGCACTGGGGCAGGTGAACTGAATCGAGAGAAGCGCCCTGATGAGCAGCCTGGCTGCATTGGCGTGCGGGCGAGCTGCGTCGGCTCGGGTGCCGTCAGCCATGACCATTAATGAGCCCGTGAACTACGACCACTGGCTACCCATATCGGCGTCCAGCAACAAGCGGGAACGCCTTACCGCAGGCGGGCTATCTGGCCGACGTCGGAGTTTTCCCAGCGCCCTCGCCAGTGTACCCGAAGGTCAATGCAGCGACGGCTGACCGGCTGTATTTCGCCCCGCTCCGTGCCGCCGGCCGTCAGGCATCGGTGCGCGGGTGGAACGTGCAGACGTGCGACCGCGACAAGGCAGCGGCCAGTCTCCGCTGAGCTCGGCGTCCCGCCACGACGGTCCGTTAGGAAGACGCCAGGGTACCTCGTAAGATTCATTACACATCTTACAATATACATACAAAGTGAGACAGATGAGTGCATCCTAACTACCGGGACCAGCGACACCGGGTGTGGAGCTGGCTTCGGATCGCGCCCACACGCCACCAGTCCGGTCCGACTCCACCACGTGCCCGGGTGGCGGGCAGCAGTCCGCGCCGCGAGCGGACGCGCCGCGCTGAGGTGCCATCTCGTGCGCGGCGGGCGGCGGCGGCGTCGCTAACGAGCCGTCGCCGCCGCCCGCCGCCCCCTGACTCGCCACAAATCAATATGACACGGTGATGATGCGCAAGGCCACTTGGGTATCGAGTGCTGCGGAGTAGGTCGCGGCGACACACGGCGGCTGGGGCTGACAAGGCGGGTCCAGCAACGAAAGGGAGCACTGCACCAAGCTTGTTCTGCCGCACTGTTTGTGCACCTCCGTAACAGAAGACAACGCATACGTGGACATCGTGTGAAGGGCGTTCGTGTACTGCATAGACGGGATAACGCACATCTTAAAACATCAGAAGACATCTACATTCCTTTGGAATTTCAGAAAATGAATACGCGGAACTCTAACGACGAGCGGGAAAGCCGTCGAAACGCTACAGTCCACAGAACGCCGAGTACAAATATTTGCGAAACAAATTATCCTTACGAGGCTTGACTAAATAGCTCGTGAGCCTTACGGAGCGGCACAGCCCGCGCGTTGACGCCTGACGCCGTCACTGCGCCTGGCTCCGCCGAGCCCCGCCGCCCCGGCGCCGTGCCTCAGTGGCCAGAGATCGTGCGCAGAGTAGGTCACCGCTGGTGGCGTGGAAGTGGTGGTATTCGGAGCTGCCCCGCCGTGGTCGCGGGCTCTAGTACTGCGTGCGCGCGGGGCGGCGACCGGCACACGCCCCCTGGAGGTGGCGGAACAACCGGCCCGGACACGCTCATCCCACGTGCTCCGCCTAAAGCCCACAGACGGAGAGTCGGCACGCAGCGCCCGCTGACGCAACCAGTCACCACTCCTGAAACGCATCCGGTTCTCAAAAGCCACCAACACCAGTCATACGCTTGCCATGCGATCGAGTCAGCACCGACTCCGCATGGTGGGGCGGGGGAAAACAAGCGCTTGGGCAATGCCCCACTCCAAGGCGCCTTCGCACTTCACCGTACAAAGCAGCATGAGTTTCTGCCAACCGACACCTCCAATGCCCGGCCCAAGCCGATATTCTGGAGACGATAACTTTAAAAGCTTCTGGAATCAAAATTCGAATAAGATATCAAAACCACACCAAGCCTCATCTCAGATAAGCTTCACCGCCATTCACAACAAAAGCCGCCCTCACGCGTTCAGCAACAAAGCAGTGGGTACCCGAATGAGTCCCGCGACCCCGCACGCCCGGGAGCGGACCTGGCCGCACGCACATACAGCGCCGGCCAGCCGTCGCAGATCACACTTCCATCCACCAGTGCAACGGAACAAATAACTTCGAAAGCTTAAATAGCGCCAGGGAGCAGGGCGGCCCAATGGGGCGCACACTGAGAGGGTGTCGCTCACTGGCCAGGCTGCAGGCGCGGACGGACGGGCGTCGGAAGCGGGCTGCAGCAAGGTCGGAGCCTGCACCGGCCGCAGACGCCTGAGCCCCGCCCAGCGGCCGGGGCGACGCACGAGCGCGCGCCAACGGGTGCCGGGCCGCGGTATCACATCACCACCGCCCGCACGCCAGGAAGAGGCCAAGAACGCGCCGCCCTGGCAATGCCGCTTCTCATAATGCAAGTACACAAATGGTTTGATTTCAATGCGTGCCCACTGGACGTGAGCCGCACCGTGTCCGTGGATGGCCGCCCGCGGTGCCGCTCGCAGTCACGACCACCGGCCGAACCCCCCGGCCCCGGGCAATGGCGCCGGCCGGCCGGTCGTGGTGTCCCGCCGGCTGGCGGGCGGCGTCCGGGGGGCCCAGGCTCGGCGTTCGTGTCGGTGTCGGGTCAGGAGGCGGCGGGCGCCGGCGCCTCGGACCGAGGTCACACGTGCCGGCCGGCCGCCGCCGGCTGAGAGCGGCGCTTCTGACGCTCCGCCGCCCGGCCGCCGGCCTCCACGTCCTCCCGTGTGCCTGCGGATGGCGCCCCGGTCAGCGGACCGGCCTGACTGGCAGCCGCGGCGCCCGGCGCGCGCTGTGCCAGCACAGGTCAGCTCGGGTGCGGTCACCCTTCAGCTCCTGGGTCCAGTTCGTCCAAGCAAGTGCTGCATTCAGTTTGACACTGGCACAGGCTCGAAAGGAACTTTGGAAGGAAGAATGAAATCGAACAACCTCGTCGCAAAGGGATCAATTAGCCCTCGATTACTCGACGATGAGAGCATATCTAAGCAACAAAATCTCCAACACAAAACTGAACTTACTGAAAGCCAGTTTCAAAAATGTCGCCAAGCTGAGTGTTTTGGCAATATGTATGCATGCGCAAATCACCAGTAACAATCTGAGTCATGTCATCGACGTTCACACTGAAAGATGTGCAATATGCAAGGACCACTGACGTCTGGTGTTGGCCCCATATGGGCTTGGCTGACCTTGTCGGCTGTAGTGGCCGCGACCCGCGCCGTAGCCGTGACGGCTGGGCCCGACCTGCTGGTAGGGCGGCGGCGGGCCGTGACTGGCCCGGCTGGGTCGCGCGCTGCTGGCGGCCAGCTCCGACTCCTCCACCACCGGACCACCGCCGCCCGGCGGCCGCCGCGGATGCTGCCGCTGCAACGACACTCGCTCAGACCGACGGCAGGACGGCACAGGACGGGCCGCCGCCAGACGGCAGGACGGCACAGGACGGGCCGCCGTCAGACGGTAGGACGGAACAGGACGGGCCGCCGTCAGACGGTAGGACGGCACAGAACGGGTCGCCGTCAGATAGCAGAACGGCACAGAACGGGTCGCCGTCAGATAGCAGGACGGCACAAGACGGGCCACCGTCAGATAGCAGGCCAGCACAGGACGCGCCACCGCCAGACAGCAGGACGGCACAGCACGGGTCGCCGTCAGATGGCAGGACGGCACAGGACGGCCAAATCGCTTTTGTTGTTGTTGACCGGTGTTTTCGGGCGCGCCGACTGCAGCGGTCATTTGGCGCCCATTCGGCCAAATCGAGTACGGGAAGAAGCGGCACCCTTAAACTACTGTCAATAATCGTAATTGTTGACAGTCTTACGACTACATTTAACATGTGGAAGAACGACTCGCCTAAATAAATATAAATTAAACCGAATAGATAACAGGACCCACTTCCATTGGCCAGCGCTGCATCATTCTGATGATCGAAGAACAAATGCTATCTCTATCTGTGGTAAATCACGGCACAGAAGAGCGTAGTGGTTTGGCGCTCCGCGTAAATGCAGGTGATCGGGCCGACTGGAGGGACGATAGGCACCACCAGGTGTGATAGCAGTCAGGGCCCAACAAGCTGGACTTCTCATCGCCCATGTTTGTTTTTTTGCGACCACGGTCGTCAAAGAATACAAGAGCATCAGCGTGATAATGTAAGATGTTACACTCGGGCCCAGGTCGCATGTCACATGAAGGCTGTAAAAACTGACGGCCTATCTCGTGAATCAGCTTGAACCAGCCTCCACGTCCCTGAACTTTAATCAGCTGACCTTTCGGGCGCTCCAACTGCGTAATTATGTGGCCTCGTTGCTACTCACATCGGCAAAGTTATACCCGGCATGACGTTTCGATCGTAACACATTGCTCGCTTCGCTATGAGAGGCATCATAATGGTATGATATTTCGGATACTGTCGATTCAAAACGACGGTGATTGTACATGTATCTGGGCGTGTGAAAAACCGCAAGGTATATGAGAGCGGACACTTCCAAGAACGGCAAATTTTCAAGGTGCGGTGATTAATATTTATTCTGGGCTGATGGCTTAAGGTCAGAGAGCCCACCACGAGCTCCCAGAGATTACTTTACGTCAGCGATGAGAAGTTGACCTTGCTGGCTATGGCTGGAGTGTGGCCACCAGCCGGCCGGGGCCAGGGCCTTGGCTTACCCGCTGCCGCTTCAGCGTGTCCATGGGGTGTTTGAGCGTGTCGGCGAACTTCCTGGGCGGCGCTCTCTTGGGGTTGGAGGACGGCGTGTGAACGGCGCAGCAGCGGATGAACAGCGCCATCACCACCACGAACGCCACCGAGATCAGCAGCACCGCCCACCAGTAGTGCTGGCCGATGGAGGCGAGACCGCATCACCACCTGTCCCGGCAGCATCGGCGCCACAAGCGACGCCGGCCCGACACCGACACCGCGAGCACCGGTGCCAGCCGAGCCGCCCCACAGGACGCCGTCAGCACCACGGATAACCGAGACACCCCCGTCAGCCCGCCTGACACCGGCACCGCGAGCACCGGTGCCAGCCAAGCCGCCCCACAGGGCGCCGTCAGCACCACGGACAACCGAGACCCCCGCCCCCCCCCCCCCCCTCCGTCAGCCAGCCCGACACCACAGAACGTCTTAGCAGAGACGGCGAAGTGACAACCACACATGAACATGTGTCTCGAAAGAAAATATTCGGAACGAAAAAGAAACTAGCCATCACTAGGAAAGTTGCATACATAAACCAGAAAGCCCGTAGGGCATACTGGCCATGCTGACGACCCCAATGGTATTCACCTTGCACAGAAATGTCATCACGAAAAATCCTTTCGAACCGGACGGTACGGTCATCTAAAACTGCAAGGAGCTTGTCGCGTATCGGGGTCGGCGTGACCTAAGTTCTGACCACGGCTCCTGGTCACAGTGGACGACTTTTCGGAAAAGGAGTTTTCAAACTTTGTGGGCTATCGCGGGCATTGATTTTCGAGGTCAAAACGAGTTTTCCATTTCTAGCATAAGTGTTTGTTCCCATACTCTTTTGCTGCGACCAGCGGCATCGTAACGCCAGCGCCCGAGGCACACAACTAGGCTGACGCTTATTTAGCCAAATGGTTTCTCACCTAGTCCATGTTACAGCCAACAACTTGCATACAACTTGCTTGCAATTCGCATAAATGCCGCAACGTAAATATGTGAAGAACCGGCAAAACGCACAGTGCCGTGTGCCGGAGGGGCAGTTTCAAGGCACGCAGCCGAGTTGTCCGAGTTGCAACAGAGTTTAGAGTTGTCATCTTTTCCGAGCGGGGTTGCGATCCACTACCAGAAGAACAAGTACCGCTCTGTACGAAACGTTTTAAAAAAGCCTGTACTAAAAGCTCTGCTAGTTTCTTTTTTGGAATACAATGAACCACGTACTCATGGTATGCAGCGAGATGTCACCATACTGACAAATGATGATTAGCATAGGATGATAGCTCGTTCAGGTCGGGGCACCTTATATAGACCGCGCGGGTTAACCGCGACGCGCGGGAGGGATCGAACCCCCAGTTAAAATAGCAAGTTCACGCGTAACCCAAGGGCGCAGGTGCCGGCAGGCCTTGTAGAGCCGGGTCGGGAGCCAGATCCGGGTCCCGTTGGCCACGTAGGGAGTGCACACTGCAACAGACAAGACGCGTCGCGCATGCCGACGCCTGGCCGCGACCGCCACACGACCGTATCAGGAACAGCGTCCATGGCAACAGGCGGCGGGCGGGGTGTCGGGCCGGGCAGTCCGCCCGCCCGGTGATTGGGCCCCCGTCAGGGCCGGCCGCCGCAGTCGGCAGTCGCCGCCGATCATGACCTCCGCACCGGGCCGTCAGCGACCGCCACCAACAGCCCAGCCGAGACCAATTATTCCGCGGCTGACGGCCGCCAGGCATGTCCAGAATGCGCCCACATTTTCCACACGGCGGCACGGAAAATCAGCCCCGGTTATTTCCCTCATCAATCACCGGGCAACCAGCCGCCGCACGGCGCGATATTCATCTACTGGCATTACCGATCGGCCAGTCCCTGCGCTGCCGGCACCGGGCACGTCAGCTTCGCAGAAGGCGCAGCTGCTACTCCGAGGCAACCCCTGCTCACGAGACGGGCCTCCAAGCTGAAAACGCAATGCTTGTTCTACGGAAGGGACCCTGTTCGTCACGTGACCCAAAATACAAACCCCTCACCATCGCGATGCGCCACACCACTGCTGGGACAGCCGCGCCTGACAACGTCTCCATCGCTTATGTATCGGGACGACGTGTCGGGCGCAGCCTGCGTGGCTGGAAAACAGGCCCCGTTCCACATCGGACCGAGATAAGAGAGCGCATACCAGCAGCGGCGGCGCTCCGCACGGCGGCTGCCGGCGCCACTGACCGTGATCCACTCGACGATGGACATGAGCGTCTTCTCGGAGAAGAGCAGATTCTTGAGCTGCACCAGCGGCCCCTCGGCGTCCACTCGGCGGCACTTAAGGAACACGTCGCAGTAGCCCTGCCCGGTGAAGGCGGGTCGTCAGCTCACTTCCCGTTGACACGTTGACTGGTGGGCGCGTCAGCGTCGCGGCCTCCAGTAACTGCCGTCGCGTGGGAGGCACGTGAACTGCGCCACGATCGGAGACAGCACATACACGTCAAGGGCCCACGGCATTCGTTCCCCCTGCCGCCCGCCCGGGCCCCAGTCGCGGCGGAGCGCACGTCACAGCGGCGGCGTTCACACGACCACGCAGACCAAGGGCCCACGGCGCTCGTTCCTCTGCCGCCCGCCCGAGCCCCAGTCGGAGCGGAGCGCACGTCACAGCGGCAGCTTGTGGTGACGTGCGCTCCGCGCTTGTGGTGACGTGTCAGCCGACTGAGGCACCACCGCCCGCTGGAACGCTCCCGGCCACGGGCCAACAGTGAACAACAGCACTTGCTGGGTTATTCATCCCAGCGCGTCACTGCCACGGCCGTCGACA